CCTGATCATCCGGAACCTGATCATCAGGAGCCTGATCATCCGGAACCAGATCATCAGGAGCCTGATCACTGATCAAAGTGTTGTAGGTGGGTGGAGCCTCTGGGACCAGAAGGAACCACAGACGTTTGTGTGGTTCAGTCACTGACACATTTTTACTGACACCCCCACACAGCCCTTGTTGTTATTGTGATAATGAGAAACGTTTGTATTTAGGTTATTTGAGTGATTAACAAAGTCCTGAAAGATGTTTCTCATCAAAGATTATTGATGTTAAAAGATGATTTTTCAGGTTGTTGTTGAACGTCTCGTTCAAACAGTTTCAATGATACGAGACGTGTTATTGGTTTGATTCATTGGTCGATATTAAAAACATTTTTACATCTGATTAGTGACATTAAAGTTTAAAACATAAACGTGTAAATCAACAAATTTTAGAGTTTTCTAAATGACTTCCTGTCCTAGAGGCTCCACCTCCACACCTTCTGACAGTCCCAGTGCAAGCTGGGAAATGTAGTCACTGCTCCACTGCTGATGATGTCAGTCTCTGATGACCTCCACTTCACTGCCAACAACACGTGATCATCCTGTTGTTCAATCCTGTTAATTAACCATGTGATCTTAATAATTAACTGCGAATTAGCTGTGTTCATTCACATGATTAATCAACCCTCATGTTAACACTATTGATTAATCATGTTAATGAACTCTGCTAAATAGCAATGTGTAGTGATCCTGTTGATTAACCCAGTTAATGAATCCTGCTAGTTAATCCTGTTAATTACTTCTGTAAACCTTTAACGGTATTCCTTTAACCTCGTAATTAATCCAGTTTTTAATCCTGTCGTTCTGTGAAAACACAACATGCGAATGAAAATAATCAAGAGCCGAGAGCTGCACTGAGAACAACAGACGCTGATCGATTGTCCGTCAGTTGTTATATTGGGAGTTAGGATATAGATTCTGATGTTACATATTAAAAAGTTTCACATTTTCTTAATTGGACCAAAAACAAAATGGATGTTAGCAGCTAGCTCCCAAGTGTGAACAACTACTATTCTGAGTAATGCTAACACTGATGCTAACACTCATGCTAATGTAGAAACTGAAATTGCTATGACTGAAGCTAATTCACCATCTAATGCTAACAGTAGTTATCTTTGTTTTTTCAACAGGAAATTATGTAATAATTAATAACAGGATGTATTAAGTAAAAACAAATTCACTCAAACTCGGATGTACTAGCCACGGCTAACTATAGCTACCATAAAATGACTGAATGTTAACATGAGGCCTAGCTTCGCTAATCCAGGCTAATCACATGTAACAAAGACCAACACAGCTAATGCTTATGCTCCAGAACGTTTATTAGGCCAACATGGCTGAAGCTAACGCTACAGACAAAGCTAACTTTAAATACAGTGTTAACACAGCTAATGCTGATATCAGACTTTATTTCTGTCCCTTAAACTCAGTAGTGAAATCGTTCTGAGCATTTTAAAGACCTGCGTAGCCAATGCTAAGCTAACACTTGTTATTTTTCCATCCATCCGGATTATCAATGCTAATCATGATTCTTTGTAGATGAGCCTCCACTGTTTTAAGTTAAATGTTACATTTTGAGCAAAACACGAAGAT